CCCAGGTTTCCAATTTTCGATCAATTATTGTGACCTACTGAAGAAAATACAACACAGTAGATGGTCAAAATAACACAAAACAATTTCCATGAAGTTCGTAGTTACTGGTGGGAGACCCTTGGTGACAGCTTAAAATCTTCCATGTTTTTAGGTGTTTATTTTAGAATCCGTTTCACTGTGAATTTATGCAAAACCATATCAAAGTGAAGAATCTGAAAAAAAGTAATTTGAAGAACTGAATCTTTCAAACCATTAGCTACCTACTAACAACTTTCTAAATATAACAAATTAGTTAATTCACTGTGTATAGGCTTCAATAGGCTGGGTACTACATACAAATGGTAACAGCTTTTTCAAATATGAAGTGTTACCATTTGTTTTATGGTCACACACCAATGCATGATAACAAATCTATCCACACTTCAAATGTTACATCAGCATATAAGGTCAATACTCGCCCGATTTTCCAAAAATAACTGGGAAATACAAGTATCTTCATAAGTATTACTTAAACTTTTCAGTTGCAGCAGCATATCTGAAATAGAACACCGATTCTTTATTAATGCTAGCTTAGAATCCACGCACTGTAATTCCATATTAGTCTAATCTGTTTGATACAACATATAGTGATATGGTATTATTTACTAGATGACGTTTCAAGCACAACTTATTGCTGATAACTTTGCAACATCCTTAGCTTTTTGATAGTCCTACTGCTTTTCACTTTTTGATTTGATTAATAGTAGGATCTTCCACATATATGGATTAGGGGTCGGATGATTCCTATTACACATTTTAGGAGTTGCATCGATGAACAAAGATTCAACGACCAATCTCTCTTTCCACGTAACTTAGTAGTCTATCCCACGATATTTTGTTATCGCATTTATAGTCACCGCTAAATTCTTCTCAAAACTATTAATCTAAGTAGAGTCTATCAATCTACACTTAGCTAAGTGTCAATGTTCTTCCAATCAAGCGGAACTCCATCAACTAGTGTGACCTACATTCTCGACTGCAGCCATTGTGAAGCATTCGTTTAATCAAATTTCGTCCAGTTAGGGTCAATACAACCCTGAAACCGAAAAAGTTTGTCTTTGAGTGAAAGTATGGGTGTGTCACCCTAGTCCCAGCCTTATTGAGAAGCCTACATAGAGTTTCTGATTTCATTTTCTTATATGGTAACATTATTTGAGGCCTCGAAATCTTCCTTAATCACGTCACAGTTATTGTTGGCATGAATACTTTTCCTTCATTTATACGTCCTAATAAATATATCTCAATAAATGTAGGAAGATGATTAATAAGAAGTAGAGCTTCTCTTTAATTTCATTTCTTGACTTACTGGATAGACTCGACTACTTAAAAATTGGATTGACTGGACCGTACTGATGCAGGGTGAGATGACGTGGAGTACAAATGAGAACGCTACGGTTTTTTGTAGATACCTGTTTCTGTTATAGTCTGATACAACCAACTCCCCTAGGTCATCTTTTAACTCGAAAGCAAATTGTATCCAATCTACTACCGAGTTTGAGTATGAAGCAGCTAAGTTCAAATTTCAAAGAGTCAGGTTCCCAATTGATTATAAAAATATTTGCTACGACTTGGGATATCACTGTCTTATTGCTACTCTTTCCATCTATTGATATATTTTGCGTTGGAACGTGAGAACTTAAAAGGTGAGACATATGAAATTCTAGCGTGAAATCCTCAGTCCGTGACCTATTTATATGAGTGAGGTCAGGATCAATGTATAGTTCATTTCCGACAGCTTCAAGACCCATACTGAGTGGCACATAACACATAAGCTTATTACATCGAAATTAGTCCCTTTTCATCTATCTGAATATACTCTAGCCTTTACATCATTTCAGCTGAATTGGTTATTCTAGAGCTTAAGTGGTTTCTAATGGGGTAAAATATAGAGGCTAAGTACCTGAATAACTTGGGTGTGTTTTCATGGCGAACCAACGATCTAGTCGGATAACCTCGTTCAACTAGGATTACTAGCGTCAGTCATATTTACTCACCCATAAATGTCTTTTTTAGACGTAATATATCAGCTGTAGGCCTCTCCTAATGTCATTCATGAAAGTGTCTACAGATTTCTTAGGCCTTCAGGTGGACCGATTCGGATGTGTTTATTGACTTGCATAAAGTGTCTAAATTTGTCCATAACTACTATTGAATTAACCTTATCAACTTCAGCAGTTACTATTGTTTTCACTACTTCATTTCTTCAGAATTAGTATTTTCGATTTTGCCTCACCTACTTCAGTTCTAGTGCACAACGTGTTCAAACTTGTTTAACAGTTGTCATATCTATTGAGCTTAATGTTACTTCCATAGTAGGAATGACACCTTTGGGTTCCAAATAACTGACTGCCAAGTTGAAATTTAACCCTTTCTCAAACACTTGCATTTCACTTGAGTTTAATGCTCTAGTTGAGGTTGATCATTCCATTTTGTTTCATCGACGGTTTCTAATTGGCAATTTTTTCCCTCTTAGGAGGACGCTTTTGTCATATGGAATTGCTGAACTTTTTAACTGATGTCGTTTTGTTTGGTGCTTCAATCAGGATTTCAAAAGTTTTTAGATGACCTTGTAAAGTCTGCTGACATTTTCCGTTGTGGCATGTTGATACTAGCATATGGTGGACCAAGATATTTAGGAATGATTGAATTTTCAATACATAAAATGTTAAAATACGATGACTGGAGAATCTAACTTCAGTTTCTGAGTTCATCGACTGTGATGTTAAGTATATAGGTCAAAACAACCGATCCGGTTCAGTCAGGTTAGCAGAACATAATAATCCAGCTAAGTATTGATTGACGGAACTTAGTAGGGTAATTGTTTTCGCAGTGGTACTTTTAACAGCCGTTTACCTAGATGCGGTTAGACATATTTGTTGGCTAACAACATACACCATAGATGGGTCGTCGAAAGCATTCATGCATCACAATTTCAATTATTATAAAGTAGTGCAAAACAATAATGACTATTTTGAGATGACTGGGGATTTCTAATTTAGAAGTAGTATTCATCATGGACTGACATCAGTTTGGGAACAATTGAAAATCTGGGAGCACTGGACAGCTGTTTCGTCATAGTATGGGACTCCTGGGCAGTACGCACCCACGACCCGGTTAGAGATCGAACTCAGGACCTTCAGGTTTCACGGCGAACGCGTTAACCGCTCAGGAAGTGAAGTGGATGCTAACTGAAGACCTTGGGTGACAGTCGCGCTATGTCGTGGATTGACAGAAGTTGGAAATTGTGAACCACTGGAAACCGACCCAGTGGCTGAATGGTAAACGCGTTCGCCGTAAAACCTGAAGGTCCTGAGTTCGATTTCTAGCCGGGTCGTGGGTGCGTACTGCCCAGGAGTCCCATACTAGGACGAAACAGCTGTCCAATGCTCCCAGATTTTCAATTGTTCCCAAACTGATGTTAGTCCATGATGAATACTACTTCTAAAATAATGACTTTATCAGTTCAGTTATATATTCCATGAGAAGTACTCAGAAAGTAAACGGACTCCCACGATAACTCATAGCCCAAATAACTCGCTATTTCTTATACTTTCTTTGTTTCTGTGTAATACTGAAATATCATAAGTTTAGTAAGTGGAAACAGAAAAGACAGCTTAAATAACTATAGGATGAAAGCTTGCTTCTTCAACCTTTTTTCTCACGTTATTCCTAGTAACTGATACAATGTACTTTACCCATCAGATGGCTGATTTCCCTACACTATGCGAAAGCATAGTGTAACAAATCTGAAAGGCAATAATTGTAATTCATCCTACATAGTTGACATCTGCTTGTCAGTGAGTAGACCATATTACCACACACAGATTTTCGACTTAGCGATAATTAAGACATTACCAATTTACGTATAGTAATGATGGATAGTAGCTAGCAGTGGAAGCCAAGATGCGCATTTCATCCTACTTATGACTCGTCAGCTGGATGTACCTGCCTCCCAGTGAGTGGTGTTGTTTCCTACGAGGCATCCGCGCAAGAGCCTATATGTCAATAGAGACCGATCAATTCGGTCCAATCAATGATGGTATAATACAAGCAATAATACCATTACTAATTTACAGTTGGCGCTTTATTAAAGCAAATGGTGATTAAGATTGCTTACTGAAATACACCTTTAAATTTTTGCTATGAATATATACAATTCGGAATTATATGCTAATATTACAACTTAAGTAATTAGCATGATAAACAAAGTGAGTTACAGTTAGTACATCAAACAACTTTCCATTTTAGTTGACTTAGTAAGTGCATCAAACAGTGGAACAGTAAGATTTGCGAGATTACACTTTGGACATTACTTATTGTCCATAGTTATGTCAAGATAACTACACAACTTTGAAATATGCTTTATATAGCCCTAATTTTTACTCCTTCTTCATGATATAGGTAGTAGAATTTCCCATATATCCGGAACAGGTGTTGAGTCGTTCATCTTGCATGTGGTTATTGTTGATTCGATAAACAAAGAATCATTTATCAATCTCACCCTCCACCACACTAATTTAGTTTTAAGAGTTGTCACTCTGTTCCATCCTACTGTGTAGGTGTGTTTGATTGCACGTAGGGCTTCGATAAAGCTTTTCGCTAAATTTGTAATCTTGCTAGGATCTATCAATTCTGATCTATCTAGGTTTATGAGCTCAGATAACCTAATTGAAACTGTTCGACTGCTTTGACCTAGCGAGATCGAAATTGGTAGATCCTAATAAGGTAAGGAATTTAGGAAAAAAACTCGGCCATAACTAAACGTGAAATTACACACAACCACACAATAGGATGGGACAGATGAAAACCCTTGAAACTAACATAACAGGATGGAGGGAGAGATCGATGGCTACAAACTTGGTCGGTATGTCTGAGGCACATTGACTGGCTATCTTAGGGTGAGAGGTGAGCATTCCATTATTCCAGTTCAAAAACCTATGAATAGTGGATTTCGTGACACGCAATTGGTCCTTACAACTTTAGGCCTTCTTCGCTCCAATTAATTATGACAAAACAGGCATTATCAACAGGTGTATAAACAATTCTAAACCAAACACAACGGTAACAGTGTTCTTTTAATTTACACAATCTCTATTCTGCGATAGAAACATCTCAATTTTATACAAAACTGTATATACTGAAGTGGAATGAGACAGAATACTCTATCTCCTAAAATCTGATAAAAATAAATTTATTCAATGTTTGTCTTTCCCTTCAAAAATCGCGTTTATGGAAGTATATTGTGAAGGCTTCAAATTCTTCTCAGCTTGTTGTTGAATTAATCTGAAAAGCGAAAAAAGTATTTAAAATTAATGAAAATATATACAATTTAGAGGAAACTTATTGAACTATCTACATAGAAATTATGAAATGTGATTTAGAAATTGAGTTCCAGTGGTACAAAAAAAGTATCAGTATCTAAGATTGCCAATCCCATTTTATTCAGGCTGAATTATGAAATTCAGCTATAGACCAGTTGGTAATATCAGCCCAATTCCAGGATCCTAAATGTTGTATTAAGGCTGGAAAAGCATAGTATTATCAGAAGTTAGACTCACTACACTAACGGTGGTGTTAGATATTCTCAAGGAAAATAAGGTCAAACGTATCCACTGATAGACTAGTAGGTCAATGGTTCAAATACCTTTTAGTTAGGATTGACCAGCACTCAGGTATTCTCTCATACTTAAATCTTCATAGATTCCATAGGTTTAACGCTTACGTTTGAAAACCACATAGCAGCCACAGGTTTACTGTTGCGTCTCATACTTGACATTTAATTGGCATTTAGATATTCCCCTTAAGTCAGTGGGGATAAGAGTAAGTCAGTGACTAAATTTCCTGGGCCACTAACGCACTAAGTGCCTTTTCAAACAAGTCAAATAACCAATGCATCCAATTATATTAAATCCTACTGTCAGGTGATATCGCTGCAGTCCCACCATGAAGCAATGGTGTAGATTTAAAAAGAGATAAATACACCTGGAGCTGAAAGTCTTCAGAAGTTTCCACATGTTGTCAGTATCTTTACCTAACAAGATTATCCTAACAGAGTATTTTAAGTCTATTACTACGTCAAACAGATTAAGGTTCACGAAGTCAGGAGAAAGGACAGTGATTACTATGAGCGATAAAGTCAAATACATACAGTTTACACTACTGAGCTACAAGATTCTATGTAGGTGTAGATACCTTAGAGGATAACTCATGTAGGCTGCAATTTTTTGGGTAAAAGAACCTTCCGTAGTACAGATTTTCAGTAAAATATACCGACGTAAGACATCTCCATCGATGAGGTAAAATGTAACCTTGATGTGAATAAAAATGTATGCTGTACAGTTCCAGTAAGTATTTATGATTGGCTATCCAGCAACAAGTGAAGATCTGATAAATTTACTCAGAGTGAAGTCTTAAACCCTCCTGGTATTTTCAAGGTGGTTACTCCTAAGTTATAGTTAAGTTACGCAATCTAGAATATTTGAAACTAACTGGAGGAGTCAATAATTTAAACCAGTGACGGTGAATAATGTATGACATCCACAGTCGAACTAAAATCTGTTATTATGACAGACAGGTAAAATCAACATTTAACCTCGCAAAGAACAAGTAGATAGTAAGAGACTGGTATCAAAGCAGAAAAAGGTGTATAAGAGGAGAAACAGTTATGAAAAAGTTAATGAAAATATTCAAGCTTTGGAAGACGTCGAAGATTGAATACATCTGCGCCATAGTGACTGACTTTCAGCTATGCAACCGAAATCCCTCAACCACTGATTTCTGTCGTTTCAGGGATCACAGTCAGATAGTCTGTACCTGGCTACATAGCTGAGAAGAAAGGTAAGTAACTTCATAGTTACTCCGATCGAGGTGGGTGGTGACTCGGCATGCGTGAAACATGTCCCAGTCACTTCAGTCTTTGAAAGTTCAGAACTTTATCGACCGACATCACTTCCTTATCTGGTACTCTTCGCCTAACTTCTGCACTGTTAATATGGTGATTCCACTTAATGCCAGCAGTGCTACGAAGACACCTGTGATCGAAAACCTGTAACCGCTTCATGTCTTCTAGTTTCAACGGTAATGTCTCACAGTTGCATAACAGGATATTTGTTATGATAACCAACAGTATTGAGTTACCGTTGGTAAGTTACACTGGTTTTAGCCCAATCTCGATGAATTATAGGTTTTCACCAGCTGTATGTGAGCACGAAAATGTATAACCTGCGGAAACTTAACAAGACTCTTTAATTATAAATATGCTCAAAAGGCCAGAAAGGTATAATACGTGTACTAGACATCCTATGATATCCCTATAAAGAAAGCCTCAGTTTATCTAAATCAATTGAAGTTATCTGTACTTAAAACGACAAGGTTAAAAATAGACGCTCAAGTTAGATTTAGAATACATCACATAGACTTAATTACCTGGCTTCTTTTAATTTATCATTCATTAATAATAATTTTATGCATTCTTCATATAGTGTTTTACGTTTTGAATGAACACTTAATTGCTCTTGCAATAGGTGAATACCACGATCAACATCTCCATATTCGAATTCTATCCTGGCCACACTGAAAGGAAATATTCAAAATAGAAAGAATCACCAATTAGTGGAGGAAAATAAATACACATTAAGAAGAATAACAGAAAACAGTTTACAGGTTTCTCTGGTTTTGAGTACGATATGCATTGTCTGAAAGTCGAGCGGCTGACTCAGTGAGTCATTTTTCCATAACGAGAGCATGAAATAATTAGGCGCTTTTCAAACCGTGTTCCCATTTAAAACCAGTCACTCCAGAAATATTGTATCGAGTGTGAAATTTCATATGATAGAAATCGAACACACTTCAAGGTGATATACATCACAGAATGACATCAGTTGGAGAATCATTGAAAAAGCTGACAGCACTAAACAGATGTCTCGTCCCAGTATGGGACTCTTTAGCAGTGTGCACTCATGCCGTTCCAGGGATCGAACCTTTGACTTTCAGGTCTCACTGTAAGTACTTTACCACTGAGTCACGGGATGGGAATTTAGTGGTCCACACACCCCTACTTTTGTCAGTTAGTGATAAAGTGCGACCTTCATCCAATGCCACTATCGAGTATCTGTCATCTCCGATTTTGTTTGCCGCGCCAGTCAAGCCTCCCAATTAGGACTTCGGGAAATCTCACTTCGAAACACACCAGTTCGAAGGTTTGTGGGGATTGACTGATTTCAAGGAGCTTTTCATCTCGGACTGATATCGCGCTACAACACACATTGACAGAAGTAGGAAAATTTGGCATACTGGATTCTGACCAAGTGGAGCAATGGCAACGTGCCCACCGTAAACCTGAAGGTGCTGGGTCAAGTCTCTGACAGGGTCATGGGTGCGCGATGTTGTGGAGTCCTATGCTAGGTCGAAACTGCTGTCCCATGTTGATGGGTTTTCAATGATTCCCCAATTGATGTCATTCCGTGATGAATACCACCTTGAAAAAATAAATCCCTGCAAACCTCGAAACTGAATCACAAACACATTTCCAACGTACGACCTATCTAAAATGACAAACCCAAACTGTGTTGATCACTTTCATCATTTCCATAAACAGGTGTTCTACAACTCCTTCTTAACCGCAGATCTTGCTGTCTAGTCATCAGTAGTCCATTAAAGTATCTCTTATGCTTTTTTGTATGCTACATGCAGACAAGTGCTCAAAGGTCTAGTCTTCACGTAAAATTCAGCGTTGTAAGATGGTAAGTTAACTTTTTGATACATAATTTGTATATTTTGTATTATAAAAAAAAGTTATTAAAAAAACACTAAAGTTGAAAACAGCAACTAACCCAATAGCAAGTTGTGGAAGAAGCGATGATTTCAATAGTGAGGCTGCATTTCGTTGTGCTTCTCTAGCAGCTTCTACATTTGCAGCTCGAAAACGTACTCTAACTAGTGAAAGCCAACGGTCTACATCGCCTGGACAAGATTTAATTTGACGACGAGCTAATTCTTCGGCACGCTGCAAAATAGTGATTGAAAAAATATACAAACAGTAAATACTATCACTCAAAGATAACACTCATTAGTAATACACACTAGTATATTTCAAAAGAAATGACAGTGACAACATTATACGATAAATTTTACTTGTGTGAAGCATTTATTATGTACTTGTTTCTCGGTACTTTCCGCTAACTTACGAATGCTTAAGCATATGAATAGAACGAGTGGTCGTTAGTGACTTGATAAAAACAGTTTATTATAATACAGAGAACTGATGAAAATATACATAAATTACTTCTCTTTAGTGATCACAGGTTTTAATTAGAAAACTATTCCCCAGGCTAATTAATTACTAATGGATATTAACCATTATTCAATGATGACATCAGATGCCGGTCATGATGTATCGCGGATCGGCCGAAGCTAACGCCCTGGGTTCGATCCCAGGCGGGGACATGGGTGGGCACTGCTGAGCAGTCCCATACTAGGATGAAACGGCCACTCAGTGTTCCTAGGTTTTCAATAATTTTACAACTGATGTTGGTTCGTGATGAGTACTACCTTGAAAAACTATCTTTGTGAACAAGATTGTATAACATATTGTTAGTCATGAAAGTAAAAACTGAGACCACAATAATTTATCCGAAAAGAAGAGGAGAGCATAAAATTACAAAACGTATGTCTCCTTAATGTTTTTTCCTCAAAAATTAGTTCAGTTAACACAATGTAACTGTCAGATTAAATTATTTGCGGATACAAGCAAATGCTTCAAACCGGATTAAATCGATCAACAGAAAGTCTTTTATCAGTTTTTTACCGCCCTAATAACCTAGTTTTTAAAATTCTCATCACTTGATTGCATCTCATTTTCTTTAAAAGAAACATATGTTTATGCCAATTTCGATTTGAACGTAATATAGCTGACACATTTTGTTCAATATCGACATGTCTGCCCATTAACTTATTCCAGTAATCTTATACTTCAAATCTTACATTATTTGTTTTACCACTATCCCATCAATCAGTTTAGCCTACAATTCAATGGTGATGAAAAATAAATCTTGATATCTTAGCAGTATATCTCCATTTCGTCGTTTGTATTTGTATGTATGCTTTTTTTCCTCCTATTTGTTATGCCAACTTCTAGCTAACAGCTTTTTCTCCAATCAACTGACATAACTTTCAAGTTGAATACAGTTGAAGACACAGTAATAAAATAAAATGCAGTTACAATATTCTTTCAAGATTATCGTCTTTTCTTCAGTTTTGTAAAGGGCAAAGATTAGTATTCTACGTCATATGCAAACGAATAAGATAAACAGGGTAGTTAAAAATTCCAATTCTGATCAATCATAGTTAGACATACCCTGAACTTATACAATAAATTATGCTATTCAGATCAAAAATAATCAGATTATAAGACTAAAAAAGTATCTGGTTCATTGCATTGGTCTATACCATAGATCTGTACAACCAAGTAAATATCTTCCTAACACATCAACTGCCCCTATTTGATCAACGAAACCTACTGATAATTGGTGCATATCTAATCCAAATATTCATTGTTTAATTGCCTATCTAAAATTGTACAATCTTTTTAGTTCGTTCCTTTTAACGATGCAACTGATGTGGTTTATCGGCTGAAAATATAGACTTATAAGCAAGCAGAAACATTAACTGTCACACAGTAAGTGTGGCTCATAGCCTATTATTATTATTATTTATTTGTCCCTTCGGTTCCTAGTGGAACACAAGGCTTCAGTAGCACGTATCCATTCCACTCTCTTCTCTGCAAACTTTTCAACCTGGTTTCACAATAGCCCACAAGCTCTCATTTCTTCCTCACACCATCTCCCCCATGTCATCCTCGCCTCGGATCCCCAACTCGTCGTTTACCATTTCGCTTCCACTCGACTACCTGACCTGGCGAGTGATGTCCCACAATGGTCTTTTCAGTGCATGCCCGATCACTCTCCACTTCCTTCCAGTGCATATTTGTTCGGCGATACGTTCTTGGTTGGTTCCTTCTCAGCCACAGTTCCTTGTTGCTTATTCTTTCTGGAAATCCATCTGATCTTCAGGAACGAGTGAGTGTAGGCAGCTGTTGATGAATGTATGTAGTTTGTTGAAAATACCTTTCGTAACGCGACAAGTCTCCAAGCCATATAGAAGCACTGACTTCAAGTTGGTGTTGAAAATTCGGATATTGTACACGCTTTATGCTGAGTGCAGATCTCCACACTGGTTTCAGGTTAATCAACGCCTGTTTTGCTGCCTTTCCTATCATCACTTTCACGGCCTCGTCTGTGTCTGTGCCGCATGTAGTTGAAACGATCCTGCCTCCCCCCACCCCTAGGTACGTCAAACACACTACTTCCTTTAAGTTTCTCCCGTTCATGGTGATTGGAGCTTCTTGTTGTTGTTGGTTGGCTGGTTGGGTATCTTCATCACCTCTGTCTTATCTACGTTCATCTGATGCAAGTCCCGTCTTCGCTGCCTCATCTCTTCTGTCAACTTGTCAGTTTTCGCCTGTATATCTTCCAGTTTGTGCCACAAGTCATCATCGGCGAAAGCCAAATCTTCTAGGCTCTTTTCATCCGTCTAGTCAGCATATGTCCCTCTCCTCGCTCCTCACTGTTTGCTGCATGATCCAGTCCACTACAATCAGGAAGATCATCGGTGATAGTAGACAGCAGCCTTGTTTTACTCCTGTCTTCACTTCAAAGACGTCACTGAGCTTTCAGTGTGAATTACTTGGCATGTGGCATCTTCATATAGTTGGTGAATGAGATTGATAAAGGTTTGTGGCACTCTGTGATGTTGAAGCGACTGCCAAATTACTTCTCGGTCGACGCTGTCAAAGGCCTTTTCAAAGTCGATGAAGTTGAGGTAGAGAGTTGACTGTCATTCTATGCTCTCTTCTATGATGATGCATAGCGTAGCATTGCAATTTGATCCACACATGACTTGTATTTCTTGAATCCAGCCTGTTCGGGTCGTAGTTTTGAATTCAGCGCATCCTTTAGTCTCTCCAGGATGATGCGGCTTGATATTTTGCTTTGGGTGGACGGAAGCATGATTCCGTACCAGTTCTTGCAAACACTTAGATCGCCGTTCTTCAAGAGTTTGACAAGGTAGCCCTTCTTCAAAACGCCAGGTATCTTCCGTTTCTTCCAGACCTTCTGCAATAGTGATATGAGCATGTCTGCTGTTGTCCCTGCGTCTGCTCTTAGTGCTTCTGGCGGGATTCTGTCTGGTCCTACTGCTTTCCCTTGTTTCAGTAGCCTTATAGCGTTGAGGACTTAGCTATATTTTTCCACTGATGACAAAGGTATCTTCAATTGTTGACCTTCGGTCCTGTAACAATCCCGAATAAGTGTAATTGATTAATTTGAAATAATGATGAATATTTATATAAGCCACGTTTTGAGCGATGTTATTTCATAACAACTAATTAAGAATAATTTTTGTAACTTACAGTTTAGTAATAATAGTGGGGCAAATATTTAACTGTATGAAGTAACCATAATAATAATAATAATAATAATAATGTTGGCTTCTATTGTCTTATGAAACGTAGAGAATATTGAAACTCATAAGTGAAAACAACACAGACTCGATCATCACACGAATAGACAAAAATGACTACATAGTTTTACGAACGAATAGTCTTCAGTTGCATATAGTCTAAAAGTACAATGTCTTTTAGGACATAGGATAGTTCGAAATTAGAAAATCTATAGTCCTAAGTTGGACAACGAAACCACTGACAATCCATATAACGTGTGAAAAACTTAATTCTAAGGAAGTCAGAAATATAAGAAAGCAAGGATCATAATAATTAATTGATAAAGTTATGTAATTAAAATGAAAGTATCAAATCATTGTCACCAGCAGAGTGAGAGACTAACCACACTCTCCTTTTGTGTGCGAACGTCAAATTGAAAATGATGTATTACAAGCTCAGTAATTCAGACATTTTCTGTACGGTTATCATCTTAAGAGCATTTAAGATTTCAACCTGGTGTTCTATGTCTACGAGGTATCTGGTGATTGCCCTGGTTAGAATTTTACATTCTTTCAAAAACAGATTCTTGGCGATATGCACAGTGAGTAGAATAGATGCCATCTTCTCAGTCCTTCCAATGTACTTGCTATCACAAATGCATGTGAATTCATAAATACAGTTAATGACGCGAGCATGACAATTATCTAACTTTGACTGGTTTAGCATGTGAGCATGTGATACTGCATACTGATACAAGTTTAGCTGTAGAAAAGCTCCTTCTAAGTGCTTTGTTGATTCTTGCGTCTATTCGCTTCGGTACTGCATCTACTTTGAATGTAATGTGTATAAAAACCTTTTTCACAGCTGGATGTCTATTTCTCTCGATCTGTTCTTCAACATTCTTCATAATAAACCTCTTAGGATATTCATTCTTTTGGAGACACTTTTCAATAAACTTTAATTCTTTCTCTAACTTGTCTACAAAAAGTAATTTCATGGCTCTGTGGTAAAGTGTTTTGACTAACCCACAGCTCATAGCTGGCAGGATAGAAACTGTTATAGTTAAGATACTGTCCACTTCATGTATCTCTTTCATGAATGGTCTTTTCAACCATCAGTTCTTCGCACGTTGACGTCCAGAAAAGCGGACTCTTTTTCATACTCATTATTTATTTATTAGTATTATTACACTTATTATTATTACACTTCTTACCTCTCTACAATTACACCTTACACTTTATATTAGATTACCAATGATTTCGTTGTACAACTTAAGATTATTCACTTCGTAATTTTGAAATATCCTATGTCCTGATAATCATTGCATTTTTAGACTGCATGCAGCTGAAGAGTATCCCTGAAATAAAATGTTATCATTTTATTCTGCAGATTTTATCCTCATTGCTTTATCCAACGACTAAATTTGAAGTTGTATCATTTAAATGGCAAGTAAAGATGCAAAGTAATAAAGGGAAGAAAAGTGAACTCAGCAACAATGTGAACGTTCGTGGAGAATCCAATCAGACACAAATGTTGTGAAGAACATTAATACTGATTGCCCGTCATTGTATAGGTAGATGAAGCAGTTGAAAATTAGAAGTTGAGTCCTTAAACCAAGGAGTACCAGCACACTTATATATAATATCATACATTTAGTTCCCTTGACAAATTTGAACAATGCAAGAACAAAGACATTTGCAGAATAAAATGAGCTCATTTTATTTCACTGCCTTTCATCAGCTTCAAACAGTATACAATTGAAATGAGTTATTAGTAGTAGTAATGACATAACATACTTTGAACACTCAGAAACAAATGTAGATTTGAAACCCAGGATTAACAACAAGGTAGTAAGTCAAGGAAACACAGGATTAATAGTTACATATCTTAGTCAAAATCTATGGCTATTCATATCTTATGAGATCGAAAATTCTGGAGCTGTGGAGTGGGGGGATAACAAACCAAAATCAGTGTGAAAGAATGGACTGCTTGAGGGCTAATAGGTTACGTAATCACGTTAAAAACTTGAAAATAGGCGACTAATAGTAAGTAATTTATATATATATATATATATATATATATATATATATATATATATATATATATATATATGCAAAAAATTAAATACATTTAACAAGGTAAAGAAAGGTCAGTTACAGTCTCTTTCTGAGTACATAGGTCAGGTTGAAAATGTTTGATACCGAGAGCTTCCGCAAACCGTAATAAACATGGTGTTTTTTGTTTGTGAATTATCCTGAAAGATTGAGAAACATCTATTTGACGTCCTGTTTCCATCAGATGTCGGACGATGGCACTTTTAAAGACCTTGCTACCATTCAGACACAGATTTCTCGGAATACGCTCATAAAATCGAGTAGACACCCTTCTTTCAGTCCGTCCCATGTACTTGCTTCTACAAGCACAGGTGAATTGATATACGCAGTTGGAGGTGACGTGAGATGGGTATTTGTCTACTTTCGGTTGCGTTATTGGGCATAATGTATTGTAAACTGAGACCAGTCTGGAAGCAGGGAAACTCCTTCTCAGTGCAGCTTTTATTCTTCTATCTATTCTTTTAGATATCTGTTCACCTTTGAATGCTAGGCGAAGAAAAACAGGCTTCTTCTCAACAGTTGGATGTTTTGGTCTCTCGTTTCGTTGATCGCAGCCTTCAGACTTGTTCACTCGAGATGAGCCATGAGTATATTAGCTGGGTTACGTCCTAGTGGTGAACCGATAGCCACTCTATCAGTTTCTCAGCATAGTTGATTATTAAACTGGAACTGAATACCTTTTGTACAAAGGAGCAGTAATTGTTTAAGTTCTGTTTTCGGCAATGGTAGTAGATCAGATCGTTGACAGATTATGTCTATCATTTCATCCACCGGTATGTTCGTAAACAATGAGGAAACATCAAATGATACCATGAATTTATCTGTAATATCTAAATCTATCCATTTCTTAAGAGAACTGGAATGTATCCCTCAAGCTATGATTTGCGAGCGCTTTTCTGATGGGTTCCAATTTCTTTGCTAACCAATGAACCAATCTGTGACAAGGTGAACTTATCATGGGAAAAATGAGCCTCAAAAGAACACTGGACTTATAGATTTTTGGAAGGCCGTATATGAAAGGTAGTCGTGAACCTCTTCGTTTAAGTTTACTATGGGTTGCTCCGTCAATCAATTGGTTCTTCAAACGTTCTCTGAGGTGCTTGCTTAATTTGTTTTCAGTTGAAACTTACTACCTCATTATTATTCATGGATTTCACATCTCCATTTATTTCTGCGTGTTCAAAGTATGTTATGTTATTATTACTACTAATATCTCATTTCAATTGTGTACTGTTTGAAGCTGATGAAAGGCAGTGAAATAAAATGAGCTCATTTTATTCTGCAAATGTCTTTGTTCTTGCATTGTTCAAACACTCATAATAATTCAACTCAGCGACCATATACAAGTTCATGCATTAGCATAATAGCCACATAATATGCGAGGAATAATTTCAGGATTTAGCGAACCAGACCTTAGTAGACGGTGTCTTTTTATCAAGTGATCTACAAACTGAAAGTCAAGTGCTGAAAGTTAATTAGCAATAGATCCAACTATAATAGAGGTTGTAAAAAGAAAACCAATGGATAAATACCTGATTACCAAAGTGTGATGTACCTCCATGAAAGCTCAATGTTGAAGTACACACTACAGTACTGCACATTTTTACTGGGTTTTTTTAATGTGACCATAGATACACTAGGATGAATTAATCTTTAAAGATTGTGATATCGTGAATTTATGGATCATAGATTAAAGTATTCAACATTCAACCAGTAGGTTATAGGTTTGAATTCAACTTCAGAGATACTGTCGCAGGCCAGATATTCATTTCACCTTCAATTATTACCGAGTATCAATACAAGCCTGCCCAACCATGGTTATCTCAGAGAGCCAAACTGATCATGTCTGAATTATCAGCTACTGTTAGTTCACTTCATGCTCAATAGCAATAGAATGAGAAGGTTGACTAGTGAGATGCGAGTTTATATTACACTTCATACAGAAGTGTATCAACATTTGGGAACGATTACAGCGAAGTATGTGTAGACGAGTTAGAGACCAACAACACGAAATCTGGAAGTTTAGTAATTTCAACCAGCAATTCTATATCATATTCTTATCACTTTTTCATTGACAAAGCTTGCACATACTAAATGCACATAAGTTGGTAATCAGATTTCACCAACTGTTTCTATTTTTTTTGTCGAATTCAAGATTTTTCATGCTATTAGTGACTAAACAAACTGATTAATATCTCATATTATAGGGCATATAAAAACTAATCAAAGGAAGACAGATAAGAAATAATAATGATTGACAAGCTTAGCGAATGAGAGCAGTGGAAAAGAATAGCGGTACACGGTATATTTCTAGATCCAACCATACACTAAGAAATCAATAAACCTTTTCTCATAGGTTAAATGATATCCACGGATTTTAACTCCATTTGGGTGTATGTATTTTTTGTTCTTAATTACAACCGTTCTTATTAGTAAATATTAATCATACTGGAAAATAAATTAGCCTTAACAATGTTAAAAGGTTATATGAATCATATTAACTAGATTAGCCGCTGACTAGAAGATAAAACCACAAGATATACAAAAACATATTGATACATAAAAGTATGATCACAATGAGACAATGTAAAAGCACTGAAGTTAATGTTAGATGCAGGAAGACAAAAAACATTATTCTTCAATATATCATAAGATGATCACTTATTGTTTCACATTTGCAAATATACATTAGGTTACAGCATAGTGTATATTACAACTAGATTAAACATCAGATAGACTTGGATAAATGCGTTAAAGCTGTTTATTAACCCTAGAAGAACAACGTACTACACTGAATGATATAACTGCCAATGTTGTATAGTCAATTGAATACAACAACAACAACTTCTTACAGAAGAAATAACCAGAAGCAACTCCTCTGTTAGGTTGATTACTAAACATTCATAACTGAAAGAATAAGCGCTTGGCTTTGCTGAGAAGTTTCAGGGAATGCCGAAATAGTCATTTGAAACTTACTGATTCTTAATGTTATTCAGATTGAAATGAACTTCGAATTCTACGTTTATTCAAAAAAGATTATCCCTTTTCTTCAGAAGAATGGAGGACGAGTTCAATCGTGAATGATAAACTGTACATGTGATGATAATCTATGACCTATTGGTGAAGTCCACTTACCTTATTTAGTAAAATGTAAAATATTCGAACTAGTCGCCATATAAATACAACGAAAAATTGCAACTCAAAGCGATATGTACTAGGCTAGGAACCACCTTTATTGTATGAAGACTGGCTTTTAATAAACTACCTAACCACCCAAACCTCGCTAGGTGGAACGTAATTTGAACCTTTAACCAACTAGGTAAATGGTTTGAATTGAGTGTGTAAAAATAACCAGCAATTTAGTTTAAAAGAGAGCGAACAGATAAATTTCCTAATATTTAGGCTACAAACGGATAAGACAGAATTTATCAAGAATATTAATAATAAGTGACCAGTGATGCTATCTGAAAGTTGATCATGAGTCCAGACTAGGTTGACTTCAAAAAAGAAAATTATGAACAAAGTAATCTACACCTACAGATGTCATCAACCTATAATCGACTAAGCGAAACGTACCGTATGATGACCAATATCAGAAAGAGTATCAATGGCTCGTCGAATAAATGGTGCTTGGTCTAAGTTAAGTAACTGTGTAAGCAACTGAGAAACACGCTTTGATTGATGATTAATCTCTATCACCAAGTCTGACATTGATGGTGCAAAAGAAGAGGATAAATGATATCGTTGTTCTTTCTGAAGACAAGTAAGACGTTCTAACTCTTTAGCTTCCATAATCAAATATGAAGTGAGTAAACGAGATTGTTTTACAAGTTGATTTATTCCGGTAGAATTCGAAATTGCTCGAAGTCCTCGTTCTGCAATAGCTCGGGCATCGATAACTCTTTTGTTGGGAAAACTGCGAATAGATTCTTGGCCTATCTTACTGGATAGTATATGTGTCATGTAGGCCACCCAACAAGCTTCATTCGACGGCATATTACGGACAGCCAATTCAAATTCTTCAGTTGTCTTCGGATGTAATTCTCCTTTAGGAAGACGCTGCTGCTCAGTTGTCAAGGTAGCAAGCATAGCTTTGCGCAGTTCATTTTCCCTTAGGTGCCATTCCTTAGCAGTCTGGTTATCTATAATATATGACAACAGTGGTCGGTTTAACGTGTGAAACAAAAAATAATCAGACGTGCAAAAACGAAAATAGCAGTTCAATTAGAGTAAATACAGTCCAAGTGAAAAACTCAGTTGAGAATCACATAAATGACAATCGAAGTGAGGAAATAAAAAGTGTCTTTCTGTACCTTCAAAAAAAGCTGCATGTCGTGCAAACAGCTGATTTTAAATCTTACACTAACGCTATCAACAAAACTTACATGTAGTACTTTGTCACCACACAGATACTTTTTTTATTTAGTTACTATTCCCGTACGAATGAACAGCTAATGTCCCTCATAAAAGCAATAAAAAATAAATTGCTGAAGGCCAACAGAGAACACAGAAAATCCATGCAGTTATCCAACACTTCCAACGAATATACTATCTACCATACTACGACGTCGACGTCATAATTCACCACGTTAAAGAAGGAGTATATGAATAGACATAAAAAGTTATCACTGTAAGCTAGAGACTACTCGAGGATAGAGTGATGTTCATATTTTGAAAATGAAAAACAGGTATCAATATGTACCGCTCCAATCTATTTCACAGGAGTTTCTAAGCGATCGATTCTTAGGACTGCAGTCTTCTGTTCGACAGCACACACCTAAAAACGGGGGTTTCATGGATTAGGCACATTCAAAATGAAGATGAATGAGAATGGCAACAGTGGATATCCATGCGACACAACACTAGCTATCGCTACTTCAGAAAGCAACATTTGATCAGCGTCTGCATGAGTTGAAAAACCGACATTATTATAATACTTCCCGATTGAAAAATATGACAAATGTTTTGTCAGTCATAGAGTAGTGAAAGATGAACTTTTAAATAACGCACGGTATTCGGATTATTTCTTAAATCCTTTTATGTAATCTACTCTTATGATATCATCTAAAACGTTTTGTAGGTAATATAATGAACTTCGTACAGTTTATTCAACTGAAATATACGCATAAAAACTCCTCACATCAAGTCGCTGCACTTATCAACAACACAAGACAACCCATAACACAGAGACATGAGAGTGCAGACATATATACAGAAGCGATAGACTAAAATGGTGTATAGATGAACAGTCATCATATGGATCGCTACCAGTCAGAAAAAAGTCAGATAACCTACTCTTTGTAGCAAACTTGTATGAACGTCAGCGTTTTTAAGGATAAATCCTGATAAAAGTTTTAATTACATCTAAATACTAACCAATGTTACAATCACACTACGTTCAAAGACATGTATAAATTTTGTCTGATATTCAGATGACCATTGTGTAAATTTCCAACTTCCCGTCCTTGAGTATTCGGCTGAATATCAGTATGGTGGTTCACTACACACCACGTTTAGTATTCTCGTTGTCGTGCGCTTCTACGCATAAAAGTTGGATCAAGAAGATTCAAACTCAAAGAAACAAAAATTACCAACCTATTGTATGAAGTGCTTTTGACTTAAGCAATGGTGACGAGGAGATTTTAACAACAACAGACTCACCTTTGTTATGGCTTACTCTAACATTTAGTTGTTCCCCTGGTTCATCAGGTGTTTGTATTTCATTTTCCGCTTCATTTAAATCTCCAGGATACATAAATTTTTGATATCGTTTAAGCAAGCCTTCGGAAAATATATTATCCTCCTTTGAAGACTGTGGTAAGAGAAGATTGTTTTGGCTAGAAACCTTTTCCTCAGTTTTCATGTTTTTCAAAGAGTGTGTGTTTTCCAGATTGCTCACTTCTAGATGAAGGTACTTCCTTTTCGGTGTGTTTTTAATGTTCTCTTGAACAACAGTTTTATCAGAGCTGGTTAGTTTTATATTCTTTAGTGATTGAATTGATTCTTCACAGATGACTATTTTACGTGATTCTTTCCCTTGATCTTCGGTAAAAGAACACTTTCTTTTCCTCTTCCTCGGTATATCCTCTTCTTCTGTCGTGACAACGGCTAAATCAGACTCACAATCAGCCAAGTTGTCATTTACTGACAACTGATTCCGTTCGTTGACCAAGTCATTGCGTTTTGTTGATTGCACTGCATTTTTTTGACTAAACAGTTTATAAAGGAAGTCTTCCATGAGTATATTCACAAAATCATCTTTAATATGCTCACATCCATCAGAATTGTTGCACACCAACTCACCAACAAGTTTTCCGTTGACGATGCTGACAAAGTAAGACAGAGAAGAACACGTTTACTTTTCAACCTGCTATTTAACAGGCACATAATAATAATATCAATACTACTATTAATAATAACAGTTAAAAGGTAGGTTAAATTATAGAGTAAAAGCTGTGTGATAGTGACAAACAAAAGGAGTGGTAAGTAGACGAAGACTGTAGGTTACTCACGACCAGAAGAATGTAAGATTCATATATACACTCACCTGTCAAGTACTTATTTAATGGGATTCCTTAAACTTCATAGTAATAAGTGAATTACTGGAAAACAATTATTCTGTTATCAATTAGTGTTTTCATGGAAATCGGGTAGGAGGATAAGATCTTTTACAGGTAGTTTTAAGAAAAACAGAAATGAAAATGCACTCAGAGCAACCACTTTCATGTCCATGCATTAGATTATAAAGCGCACATTATGTAAGGCCTACCGATATTACTTAGCTTCCCAGACCTCGGTAGTTTAGGCAATGTTAGAACGTGCAACCACTAAGTGAAATCCAAATGCCCAGATTCAAAATGGAAATATACTCAGTAACCATGCGCACATTCAAGCAGTGGACAGTGAGCCACACCCATTGTGTGACAGCTAACGATGTCACTCGACTGCTCAAACCCCAGTTAGTAGAGCGATATTCGAACCAGAGATCCACTGGTTGAAAATCAACTCCCTTAAAAATGAGCCATAATTCCAATGCCAAGACTAATTAAATACATTTTTGCGATAATCTTTCAACGTATACTATGCATTCCATGCTTCATCAATCAGATACTAATTAGTGTAGAGTCAACTCGTTCACATTTTCAGTACAAGGTAGTACATAATTCAGTTCAAAGAGAGCATTATGACTTTCAAATTCACCCTAAGTCGATAAATTCCTTTTTGACATGATTTTAAGGTCATGTTTAGATTTTAAAACACCACTGAGATCATTCCCTTTACCACGTTCATCAGTGAAAAAGTGCTTAAATAAATAGCCACATTACGAATAGATGAAACATTATCGTGAGATATCACATTGTGATACGAGTTCACAGTTGGAGCAGTTTGACAGACTTTTAGGTTACGAAAATGTAAAAATCTCAGAACTTGAGGACAGTATGTAGAGCGATAATCTACACATGTGTTACACACCCTTAGTCACCATCTGTCTCGACAACTCAAGTCATTTGTAGTACGGTTAGATTCAAAAAGGGTTAAAGGTAACCGGACTAAAACGAGATACTAGTTCGTGAATAGCGACTTTACGTCTTTACTGTGCAGGGAAATAAAAAACTTACGTTGAGATCTGTAGGGCAACCAAATTTGGCCGTTGGATATTCTAGTTGACATGGCTTAGTTACACTTATAGTGTCTTCATCCTAATCGTGGTTTCATTATTCTCTTGATCTCCTGTAGTTTTTGTTTTATGAATTTCTACTGTCATTGATCTCTTTAATTCTAATTATCTTTCATTACATTGTCTTATATTTAGATGTGCGAATGCGAAGTGTGTCTACTTACACCGTTACTGTGTAATTTTAGGCCTCATTTCGGCATTGGCTGACCGACTAAATTATCGACTACTTAACCTCATGTGGAATCAATAACCACTGTTACAGATGATAACAATAACTGATTGATTCTAGAAGAAACACTGAAGAGAACCAATTATACAAAGTTAATTAAGATTGACAACTTTCTGTTTGCAGCGAGGTGCTAGACGTAGTCGGTAGATGAAAAAAACAAGAACTAAGCTCTTAATTGGTAATGGAGGAAACTTTTCAAATAATTCGTTCCGCGAAAATAGGATTTCAAGCACGAAATTTGGTCAATCTGTCGATCGCAGACTGCGAAACTCTTTCGTTACGCATAGCTTAACGCTAAATGAATATTCAGCATGGTGTTCATATTGCGCAAGAGTAGATTTAGGAGAGAATACATTCCAACTCATCATCGACTTATCAGCATGATAGACATTACGAAACTGACAGTGTAACCGAATAAGAAAATAGAATAACATATTATTATGCACTAAAAAGACTGCACATCAAACACAAATTACTTAGAGAGAACTACTAGCCAGGCAACATTACAATAAGCTATTTCTGTCAAAAACATATACCTTTTAGGGCAGACAAGAAGGTGATCACCAACTTTGAAGTGAAATCCACAGTCTTTTAGTCGGGTTGCCAGCTCATGAGGAAAAGGGATTAAAATATCAGTCGTTCTGGACAAACTAGGGGAGGAGAAACAGAAAACAATTAGGCGGACATAGCCAATGAGCTGTTATCATTTTTAAAAAGTATTAGAACGCTATCATATTTCGAAAATATATTTCCCTCACTGCTGAAGATCATGTGTCGATACTAGTGACAATAAAATTACTATCTCGAAACGATAATAATGTAGTAGCGCATATATGATGGTTAAAGCCATCGTTTCTTCGCATCGTTTTAAGTGAGCAAGTTGCCTGACTAAGGAATATTAAAAACATAATGAATCGACCATAGCTATACAACCTTGTTCGTCATGATTACTACAATTCTCTTTTGTAAGAACTGTGTTCAGTTGATAACAACACAAGCTTACAGATATAGAAAACCAGTTTCTAACTTTTTTTTATAGGAATTCAATGAATATAAGTTTTTGAATGTTGATTCCCATTGTTGTGAAAACTATATTTCAGAAGCACGCGTTTGAATGCACGAATTTTACCAATAGCCAATATTCATAGGACGGTACAAACTTTTATTATTTCATCCTGGGATTCTCTTTATTTTCTATCTATTACAACTAACAATCAATAACTAGTTCGTTAGAACACTTAAATGTAGAATATATGTCTTCAGCATCCCACAGAATATCGATTGATATTGCAATCAACTGATTGATATTCTTTACCTTGAAACCTAGACCTATCTGTTTTATGATCCTACTAGTAGTGATCAGTTACATGCTCATCTTTCATACCACTGAACTTCATCAATGACAACTGAACCACATCGAAGTACTACACTATGGCTCTTTTTAGGACACTCAATTGTTGGAATATATATGTATAACAGCAGGTTGAATCTGTGATGAATGGATCTTTCATAAATGAATACTGTGTACAGTACTTTGACTTGATAGTTAACTACAATTGCGTGAACCATATTGAATCACATTAACCAATCAAAAGTCTTAGTATGGCAAACGGGAGTGACTTTAAAGGCCACCCCAGTAACTGATGAAACGACCAATCACGTCTCTCTATTCTATGAAAAATGGTCTTCCCAGACAAAATGCCGCAACCTGATTGGTTATTTTGTCAGTGGTTACGGTGGCCTTTAAAGTCGCCCTCAAACGTGAGGGAAATCATCATGCATTGTTTGAAATTGAGTACTCAGGGTAGTGAGTGACAACATTATTCACTTCCCTGGTATTTCTTTCTCACTAACTGACTGATGACAAATTGCAATGAGAAAGGCTTTAGGATATCTCAGAAAACCCGTAAGCTCTTAAATTTATGTGCATATATATTACTTAAAATTCACTTACCATATTATAAGTCCAGAGGCTGTAACAACTTTGACAAATCCATCAGCTGGAACATTGAATTCAGGTAGCTTATCAATAGATTGCTGTACAGCTGCTTCACCATTATCTCGTCTAAGGATAAATAAATTCAATGAAAATGACTGAAATATGTATGATAAGAAATAACAATTTTAGAATTTTGAGGGTTATGGTCAAAACTGCGAATAAGATTTCTAACGACATATTTACTGAAACAATCTGATAGGTTGTTTATTTAAGGGTTATTGTGATTGGTTCAAAACTGTATGTTCGGAAAGAAGTGATCTACATAAATGTTTTATGACGCATTTTTCGTCTAATGGTAAGAAAAAAGTAACGTCACATACGGAATATTTTGATATAATACAATTTTATGAACAAAGTGAAGTAATCGTTCAGTTGGTAGCTAGGTTTCAGGAACATCTCAGTACCCCGTACTGAACCTATGACACAAAAATACGTATGCCCTATCATAGGACCACGCATATTCACTGTAAGTAGGAACGTTTGTATCTAATTCACTGAACCTCCAGTACAAAACCTACGAAAATGATAACAAATTTTTTGCGAAAATGAAACAACAGGACTGCCAAACTTCACTAAGATAATTCTCGTTGTTCGAAATTAATCCAGGTTTCAAAATTATCCGAACTTATTCAAAAGGGTTAGTGAACGGTCCAAAGAAGAATATACTTAGAGTACATAAATGTATGATGATGAAGGTTTAGGTTGAAAAAGAATGTCGTTTAGCTACTTAACACATAAATGAATGTCTGACAGGACATAACTAAATACACGAAATGATATCTAGATACCGATTCAAGTCAAATATACGGTCTTCATTCACTGTTCATAACTGCTTTATACGTGACACATGATGACGTTTATATGAAAGCATGCATAAATGAAAAAAGGTTATACAATTTCGTGCAATACTACAAACATGAGAAAAACACTTACATTAACTGAAGTTTATTAGAAACGAAATATATAACTTCATTATCACGGCTAACATCCAAATTTTCACAACTATTATCACCGACATCTTTGCTAATGTTCTCTTTCTGATCTACAATTCTACAAGCAATGAAGTAGTGTGGTTTGATCTGGTTAGAATCATCATGAATATTGAAAATTTTTGCTGATGATAAAGTAGAGGGATCCGGTATTTTAGTTAAATCCAATGGTTCAACTTCTACATCTGAATGATTCATATCTGTCACATGCAATCGTCCACTACTACCTCCTGGTAAGAAAACTGTCCAATAATCAGACTTTGAGCGAGATAATTGTGCACAAACCAAATCTCCAACGGACACTTTACGCTTTTCTACTCAACAAAGAGATGAAGACAAATACAAGTGAGTGTTGATTAAACATTACCAATACCATGAAAATTAAGATGTTCGCATAGATGAATTAGAAAATCATTGAATAGTCGAATTTGAAATTAAACAGTGAGCTATCTTAGCCAAATGAACTGTAATGAGTCTAATAACATTACAAACGACTGTCCAGATGAATATCTACTAATTGAATCAGAACAAGTGCCCATTTGGGTACAGCCTGAGTGCTAAAATTTATTGTGCTACAGTTGCCTGAATGATATTTAATTCAGAAGATCAAGAAGTAACTGAACACAATAAAGTTCAACTAGTTCAACACTTAGATGCGTACTGTTTGAATTGAAATTCTATCGCAAACGATCGCATACACCAGCTACCTAAATGAAGACAGTGATATTTCCCAGTAAACCCACTAAAAGTATCTATCCCAGAATGCGAGTAAAATGCATAAGGGCTGAAAAGATGTACATCGGTAAGCGCATATTATAGGTGAATAAGGATAGCCTATTAAGAAGCTAAATTCATTTTCCATAAGTTGGTTAGTCACAATAATATAGAAATGTCGCTGGGATTCTGAAAACAGTACATGGATATTTCTTTTTCTCTACGACTTCAATAATATAAACCTTGATTATTTCCTACAGTGGGTTTGAGATGTAGGGGGTATGTCACTATCAGTATGCTACAAAAGTACTAGTGGCTCGGCTCTCAGTTCAACCTTAAACAGTTCTTATCTTTCGTCAGAGCTTGTCAAAGGACAAGTCATCCCTTAGACCAGTCAGTCAATCAATCTCAACAAACATGGGACGTGGGAGTACGGAGTAACGGTCACAGTAGCCTAACTTCAAATCAGGACATCATGGTAGATAGCACTATGATGAAAGATAGAGAAATAAGGAAGAATATAATCATAAGCGTTAGAAAGTTCCAAAAGGAGAGCAAGAAGGAATGAAACAGTAACCAAATCCGCCACGACGATTAGGATGATGACAATGTGCGGAGGCATCTATACCACTCAAATCGACTGAAAGCCGTATCACCTAGTCTACAACCGATTGACATGTGGGCAACGACCTGCAAGTTTACATTTACCTACATGACTCAGACCAATAGCCAAAGACTTCAGAGACTGATACTATTTTTTATTGTGGTCAACTCTTACGTTTCTCAAGCTTAGAACTACTTCACTCAATATTATGAAACAGGGTGTACGGTGACTGGGCATGCATAACGCATGTCTTGAAGCAACAACTTGCATCTGAATGGTGAGAGACGTACCCCGAACATTCTCAAGTCGCCACTTAGGGTGTCCAAGAGACTCTGCATAGTGTTATTGTCTTTAACTAAAACTACTACGTCATGAGCTGAGGGCGACCAGCAGAGGCAGGTTCATCAGGAAGTTGAGTTAAAGTGTAGTAGAAACTCCTGGCACTCCTATCCTTCAGTATTCTAAACAGGTTTGTCTTCACTTTTGGTTTGGCAATCAAATAGACACGACATTTAAGAAGTGACTTTAAAGGTCATCCTAACAACAGGTGAAATAACCAACTACGGTCCTCAGTCTATGAAAAAACTTAACTTTGAGACGAAATTACTAGAACAAATTTGTCATTTCAGTTGTTGCAACGATGATCTTTAGAATCACTGCAATCAAGCGGAAAATGGAGTAACTTTAAAGGTCACCCTAGCAACTGCTGAAATAACTAATTACTTCTATCTGTTTTATGAAAAACTTCCTTTCTGGCCGGAATACCGAAACTTGGCTGGTTATTTCATCAGTGACCTTTAAAGCCACTCAAAAATGCGAGTCGTCCATTTAGACACATTTAGCCAGTGTCACCAGCTGAAAGTTCACATTACATTTCGCTGCTTTCAGTGTGGAAATAACACAAACGGTTTTTATCCAATAGACAAATGGTTGCACAGGTAAATAACGTCTAGAAATGAACAGTTTCTTTACAGAGTAAATCCTAAATCACTGATGGTGCATTCGTTGTTTTTTCAATGTATTACAGTAAAAATCCATTTCAAGTGTATGGCATGTTGATGTAACATAACTGCTGAAAAACTGTAAATTGAGAAGAGACAGATACTTATAGAATACCAGGATTAAGAGCTTTCTCGTGATGAACACAAACTTGATGTGATCTATAACAGGTGTAAGGAAATGAACAAGTGTAACAGTGATAGTTGTTCTGGCTGTGGTAGATGTTAAACATAAAAATCAAACATAAGAATATCAGAATATGCACATACGAAGCTGCATAGTAAAGGTCATTAATCTAATCCTTGTACTTTAGGCTAAAAACAAAAGCCTAATGTTGATGAGTCATGAATTCCAATCTGTCAGTGTTATGTTCATATATGCACGTTCAGATTAAAACAAAAAGAAAGACAATACACTAAAGTACGAACAAAATAAGGTCAAACAACCAATTACTGAACAGATAATCAAGCAAAATGCAAAAGATCGTTGGAGTAAATGATAGATTATCATAATCTACCTTACAGTTAGGGTAAATTAGAGTTAAGTTAATATTTTAGACACCTTTTACCTTAACGTAGAGGAGTAGGACCTAGACAATGTGGTAGATTTCAATTCCATGTGTCTGTTAATTAAACGTGTCACACAGTGAAACAGTATTAAATAATGTATTCAATATTATTCCATCATGCGAGACATTTAATAAACACACCAGAACAGCAATACGTTTACCCTTTTTAACGAGATTGTTATCGATGAAGATGCACAAGGTTGGGAAGGACAGTACGGTTATGACAAACAAACGTAGACAGAAAAATCAGTGTAGAATGTGGTATAAAAGCGAATCACTACAAGTTATTATTATTTTATGTAACATAAGGCTTCAGTAGCACGTCTCCATTCCACTCTCTTCTCTGCAAACTTTTCAACCTGGCTCCACAACAGCCCACAAGCTCCCATTTCTTCCTCACACCATCTCCCCATTGTCACCCTCGCCTCGGATCCCCAACTCGTCGTTTACCATTTCGCTTCCACTCGACTACCTGACCTGGCGAGTGATGTCCCACAATGGTCTTTCCAGTGCATGCCCGATCACTCTCCACTTCCTTCCAGTGCATATTTGTTCGGCGATACGTTCTTGGTTGGTTCCTTCTCAGCCACAGTTCCTTGTTGCTTATTCTTTCTGGAAATCCAACTGATCTCCAGTATCGAGTGAGTGTAGGCAGCTGTTGATGAATGTATGTAGTTTGTTGAAAATACCTTTCGCAACGCGACAAGTCTCCAAGCCATATAGAAGCACTGACTTCAAGTTGGTGTTGAAAATTCGGATATTGTACACGCTTTATGCTGAGTGCAGATCTCCACACTGGTTTCAGGTTAATCAACGCCTGTTTTGCTGCCTTTCCTATCATCACTTTCACGGCCTCGTCTGTGTCTGTGCCGTCTGTAGTTGAAACGATGCTGCCTCCCCTACCCCCTAGGTACGTCAAACACACTACTTCCTTTAAGTTTCTCCCGTTCATGGTGATTGGAGCTTCTTGTTGTTGTTGGTTGGCTGGTTGGGTATCTTCATCACCTCTGTCTTATCTACGTTCATCTGAAGCAAGTCCCGTCTTCGCTGCCTCACCTCTTCTGTCAACTTGTCAGTTTTCGCCTGTACATCTTCCAGTTTGTGCCACAAGTCATCATCGGCGAAAGCCAAATCTTCTAGGCTCTTTTCATCCGTCCAGTCAGCATATGTCCATCTCCTCGCTCCTCACTGTTTGCTGCATAATCTAGTTTACCACAATCAGGAAGATTGTGGGTGATAGTAGGCGGCAACCTTGTCTCAATCCTGTCTTCACTTCAAAGACGTCACTGAGCTTTCATTGTGAATTACTTGGCATGTGGCCTCTTCATATAGTCGGTGAATGAGATTGATAAAGGTTTGTGGTATTGCGTAGTGCTGAAGCGACTGCCAAATTACTTCTCGGTCGACGCTGTCAAAGGCCTTTTCAAAGTCGATGAAGTTGAGGTAGAGAGTTGACTGTCATTCTATGCTCTCTTCTATGATGATGCATAGCGTAGCATTGCAATTTGATCCACACATGACTTGTATTTCTTGAATCCAGCCTGTTCGGGTCGTAGTTTTGAATTCAGCGCATCCTTTAGTCTCTCCAGGATGATGCGGCTTGATATTTTGCTTTGGGTGGACGGAAGCATGATTCCGTACCAGTTCTTGCAAACACTTAGATCGCCGTTCTTCAAGAGTTTGACAAGGTAGCCCTTCTTCAAAACGCCAGGTATCTTCCGTTTCTTCCAGACCTTCTGCAATAGTGATATGAGCATGTCTGCTGTTGTCCCTGCGTCTGCTCTCAGTGCTTCTGGCGGGATTCTATCTGGTCCTGCCGCTCTCTCAAGTTTCAGTAGCCTTATAGCGTTCAGGACTTCGACTTTCATCGGAGGGCTTGTGTTCACTTGTAGTTCTGTGGCAGCTGGAGGTATTTCTGGACGAAGTGCAGGTGGTGGTCGATTCAAGAGCTTTTCAAAGTGGTCAGTTAATCCTCTCCTTTGTTTCTCTTCTTTGGTAATTAAATTTCCTTGATCCTCTTTTATTGGTTTCATGTGTGTTGATCTCTTCCCTCCCAAATAGTAACCTGGTTATTCGATACCATGTTGTCAGGTCTCTGTCTCTCCTACCTGCAGCCTGTTCTCCTTCACTTGCCAGTGTGTCGTGGAAGTGTCTTTTGTCTTTGTACGCACTCTTCTTCACTTCTTTGTCCAGTGGAGTGTTTTTTATGTTGTACTCAGTTCCTCTTCTCGCTGTTCATCCTTGCACTGGTTTGTCTTCTGCTTCACCATCACCATCCTCCTCTCTCTGCTCTATCAGCTTCCATGCGTCCATCGAGATCCATTCCTTATCTTCTTTCTTCTTCCTTCCTAATACGGTTATGCAGATTTCTTTCCACATAGCTTTCAAAGACATCCAGTGTTCTTCCACACAGGTTTCTTCAGGAATGT